ATCATTTTCACATACCAGATGAGAGGAAGTTTTATAGATAGATAATGCTTAATATTGGTAAGTATGGTAGAGATAGCAAGTACTCTCAATAGACTGCTAGTCGGAGTATAAATTAGTATAATCACAATCCTGAGGAGGGAAATTTGGCATTATGTATCAACCAAAATTTAAAACACACATCCCTTTCATACAACAATGCCATTTCTAGGATTTTATCATAAGAAATTAATCTTAAAGTTAAAATACATGTACAAAGTTGTCCATCACAGCCAAACGTTTAGAAATAATCTAAGTGCGCAACATAAAAGATTTGTTTAATAAAGCATAGTTCATCCAAACACAATTTAAACATTAGTGAAAAGCTCATTTATTTTATCCACCTCCAATTTACTGTCAATCCCTTGTGTATTTTCTGATTATTTAGCTAATCTATCATTAAAATAAAAAACTTTAGACAATGAAAAACATACAATTTAAACATTAAATTATCTGAACCATAATTATCTAAAGGGAAATATATCCATAATATATTTTCGATGCAATAAAAAGGCCAGCTTAAAAATATATAGATATGAAATTACTCCATTTCTTATTTTTAAAAACACACAATTTCGTGAGTATTTATGTACATTCTTTTAAGAAGATGCCATAGCTGGTTTGGCTTAGTGGATAGAAAGGTACCAGACTTGGACTGAAAGGTACTTGGACTGAAAGGTACCAGATTCGATTCCAGTCTAAGGCATGAACATGGTTCCAGGCTCAATCCCTGGCCCTGGTCAGGGCACATGCAGAAGGCAACCAATCAATGTGTCTCTCTCACACAATGTTACTTTTTCTCTGTCTTTCCCCCTCCCTTCCACTCTCAAAAAAATTCAATTGGAAAATATCCTCAAGTGAGGATTAACACACACACACACACACACACACACACATACATATCATAATTAAATGTGTGTTTAGGATTTATCATTTAAAAAATAATAGGTTGTGATTAATTTCGCTTTGGTATGATGTACAGTGCAAATAAATGGATGTTATCCAAATACAATATCTCTATTGTATTTAGAGACATCCAAACATAATAACAAGGGGGTGGGAACAAAGGTAAGTCTTGAGGAAATAGCATGTTCAGTGCTGTGCTGGTAAATATTTAACAACTATCCTTCAGGTGGGGCGGGGTAAAAGTCCTATACGGCATATTCCAATTTATATTGAAAATATTCCCAGCATTACTCATTTCAAGCTACTAATGTGATGTCACTAAATGCAGAGTAGGGAAGAGATATATATAGTAGCACATGGTGATATAGTATTTCCATGTTACACATATAACATGCATCTAATTGCAAAAGTATAGATAATGCCAAAATGCAGTAAACTAATTAGAAAGTGATAAAGTTTGTGTATGCACTCTTTCTAAGTCTGAAAGGAGAGTCATTAATAATATTGAATGGGTCTGAGTGGAAATTTCATGAATCATATTTATTTAATTCTTTAGACTACTCTATGTCATTTTAATATTTTTACAATAAACATGTTATCTGCATAGTCAGAAAAAAATAATTCAAGGTGTGTGTTTTTTCTTATTTGCTAAAACCTAGGAAAGAAAAAAAAAATATCAGGGAACATTACTTTTAACATAGGTCTCATTGGAACAGAACACTTCCAAAAGGAGTTTGAGTTCACTAGGGTGTTACTGAGGATAATGGTGAACAATGTTTGAATCAATTAAACCATGATAACTTTGTTTAGTCATGGTAAAGAAAATGAGCATTCAGTGTTTACAAGCCGTTCAAAAAAAATTAAATAAATAAATAAATAAATAAATAAATAAATAAATAAACAACATCAGAATTCAAAGGTCCTCTGATATTCATGTTACAGATAAGGAAACTGAGATTGGAGAAGTGCCTTTGCTTCCTGGTACAACATAGGTAGGTGATTTCCCAAAGTAACGCTACAAGGCAGGGTATAAGGTTACTCAGATCCTCTCCATTTATATAAAGTCTCTATAGCTTGTAATCTAGGTATATATTCTTCACTTGTCATCCTATATAATCCTATATAATAAAGAGCTAATATGCTAATTAGACCGAACAACAGAAAAACCATCTGGATGACCTTCCGGACGAAGCCAGGGCTGTGAGGGAGGAAGCCCTTGCATGAATTTTGTGCATTGGGCCTTTAGTTATTTAGTAAGAAGAGATTACCTCATTTGGGGAAATATTATTTGTTGGATTGCCAAATTGCTGAAGCTTCCATCTTTGGGTAATAGCATCTTACTCTTCTCCAAAATTTTATGCTTCTCAAAACACTTCCTCATAGATTACCTCAGTTGTACTTCATAAGAGTCCTGTAAGACAGGTACAGTAAGAAGGACCACTCCTATTTCACAGATAAAACAAAACTAAAAACTGAGGCAAAAGCAGGCAAGTGGCTAGCCCAAGGCTAGTGAGGCATCCGATCTAGGCATGGTGCTGTCTGGGAGTCAGTTTCTCTTCTGAGGCCTTTCTGAGTCATTTGGGTGTATCTTCTCTATATGGCAATTTCTCCTCTATTCTTCCTTGTCCCTTTAACAAATTATTTCTTTCATCGGCTCCTATCTCACTTAGTACTTAAGGTTATTACTTTCTGGTCTCTAAGAATTACTCCTTAGAATATCTATTTTATTACAGAATGAAAGATAGTCCCAAGCATCTTTAGGCCTGGAAATATTCTTGTTTTTCTCTATTTGACATGAGAAATAACCTCTAGCCTGCTGTTATCTCTTGAAAATTGAAGTGATTTCTATCATCAGAAGGTCTGGTGTCTGCTATAAAGCACGGAACTGTAACCACTCAGGTATGACACACTTCTAGATAATCTTGGCTTTCTAAATAGGTTAACAGTGACAGCAGGCTTACCAGAAAATACAAATCATCTATAACGAAATGGATGCTGGGAAATCAAAGACCATGTGTTCTCCCAAGCTTTGTTTTATTGATGGAAAAAGTGGGTTCTCCTGTTAAGAGTGCAATGTCCCCAAGAAGAACTGAAAAAGGTATCAGTGAGTTATGTTCGGGTCCAAAAACAGAATAGCTACCAACTTATAGTAAACTCTGTGGTGCCTCAGTCCTGGGCTTATGTAACTTAAGGCAAGCAAATTCTCAGTCCATCGATTTCCTCATAGTTAAAACAGAAATTGTAATGTCTAACTCACAGGGTGTAGCAGAAACTAAATTAGCTAGTGGCCAATAAGAAACATTCTGTAAACTAAAATTTCTATGAAAGTATGTGGAATACATTTAAGATATCTTGATAATTTTTGAAGTTCACTGCTCTGGGCAAGGGAGTGGAGTAGTAAGTTTTAAAAAGGGACGGCGTGTCTAACACTGCAATAGGCAGGTGGCCAAGTTTCTCCAGGCGGAGAAGGATGCATACTAATAGCTGCACCTCCACTGAGACCCTGGGCAAACGACTCCTTCCCAGAACACACTGTCCCTTTCCGTATCAATGGCTCTCTCCTAACTGGGCTTTCAGCTGTATGCAGAGCTCATGGATGCCCTGGTACATTGGGGTCAAGAGGAAGTGCTATTATAAAGATGAATATTAACAAAATTGATTCTCGGGAACATGTTAATCCAGAAAGAATACTGGTTTCCCTAGAAGGCATAGTAGCTTCTCTAGAATGTCTATTCTCAAGGACTCATAATGAGTAAAGGGAGACAAATTGTCAGAGCAGAAATGAGTGCAGAGGAAATGCGTAGGTGAGTTTTGACCTGATAATTTAAGGAACTACTTTAGAAATTAGAGGGAAGAAGACCCTGCCTTCTGGTTAATAGTATTAAGTATGGGAATCAAATTTTCAACTTAATATGGAGAATGACGAAAAATAAAAATAGGGTCAGAAAGTCATTTCTGGTGACATTTATCTAGGGCCTGAAGGTAATTGTCATTTGGCTGTCAAACCTAAAAAAGCAAGCACCTAGTTAAGCAAGCCACATAGATGTGGGCACCTTTTATTCCCTTATAATTTTTCAGCTTTGATAGCAGAAGAAATCTAATTCTGAAGGTCCAAAATATGCTGTTGCTATAGGAACAGGTAAGCAGATTAAACTTGAAAGACCAGTTTAGAAACAAAGAGTGTAATAGACAGAGCTAAAGCAAATAACCACAAAAGCACTTTAAGGGAATATCTCTTGGGTTTGTTATTTACATATTAATTTGAGGAAGATCAAATGCTATTATAGAATGAGAGCATTACATTGAAATTACACCATTACTGGCATAAAAGACTCTGCTTACACAATTAGCAGAAAGACCTTATTAAGTAGAAATAACTCTCTCTTGATTACAGTGTAATTGAGAAATACAGCTTTAAATTCAGCAAAAGAATTGTCTTTGATTTTTCTACAGTTCCCCAGATCGGAACACATCTAAAACAAAAGAGAACATGAACTCCATCAACTTCTATGACTAGGGAGCTACAGGCGGAATTCTAGAAGTAAACAGAAATGGTATGACGATAATTGTTAATATTCCACACTTTACAGTCCATCTGTTTCCTCATAATATTCCACACTTTGTGCACACAGATCTGTGAGAAGAGAAAAAGGTCAGAGACCCAGCTGCACTCCTATTTCTTGTTGATGTTCTGCTTCTTCCTACAGAGGAATACCCTGCTCCCAGCCATAGGGATGTGCTGAGATTAAAGGGGGTTTTGAACAGAACTTGCTTTCCTGGGAAGGCTCAAACACGCATCATAAAGTGGCATTGTGCTTCTCTCCCTTCCCGTTTTATTTTAAAAAGCAAACGTTCTTGATAAAATGAATACAATACGTTCAGTCTAGCACATTTATGCTGTCAGAGATTACATTTATGGGGCAGGGAGATTTCTTGGCCATTACTTTTTCTCACATGAATCCCAGAGTCAGGTTGTAGAGAAGTGTGTGTGTGTGTGTGTGTGTGTGTGTGTGTGTGTGTGTAGGAATGGGAAGAGAGGAAAGCAGCTAGAATCTTACCATCTCATTCTCTTCTCCTTCGTTGAGCAAAGCATGCTGGCCCTTCTCAAAGTGGTTCCCCATGGACAACTGCTTCCACTCCTCCTCCCTGGCCTTCCCAGAGCAGGCGCTTCCAGGAGGAATGTGCAGAGCTACCTACGGAGTCGCCAGCTGACTGAAAGAGTTAATGATCCTCCAGGTTAAAACACCTTCTTGCTGGCACACCTGCACCCAGCAGCGAATGACAGTACTAACTCCTCCCATGAGTCACTCTCTGCTCGAGGACTTTCTGTCTGCTCCTTACTGCCTTTCCTCGGAGCAGCTGTCCCAAAGGAGGCTGCTCCCCGGCTGACCTTTTTGTGCCCAACTTACAGGGAAAGAACTCATTGCCTGCCCAGTGCCTGCCAGCATAAGGCATCTGACTGCAAATCCAACCGGACAATGTGGAGTTGGCAGGGGCTCCTGAGGAACTGGGCAGACGTAAGAGCTCCCATGTCACTGCTTTATTTGCTGCAGCTAAGGAACTGGAGCTGGGTGACGCTCACAGAGTAGCAGGGTTTTGTTTTTTTTTAATATTATTATTATTTCAGAGAGGAAGGGAGAAGGAAAGAGAGATAGAAACATCAATGATGAGAGGGTCATTGATCAGCTGCCTCCATGCCCCACACTGGGAATAGAGGCTGCAAGCCAGGCATGTACCCTGGCAGTAATCGATTGGTGACCCTCTGGTTCATAGATTGACGCTCAACCACTGAGCCACACCAGCTGGGCCATGGAGCTGCAGGTGTTATTTCATTAATGAAAGCCCCAATCTTTCGGCTTCTAATAGCATCCAGATTCGTTTTACTTACAAAAGGTACAAATTATGACCAGTCCTCTTCAGAAGGTATTTGTAATCACATGTCTTTGTGTAAGCAAAAAAGCATTCTACTTACTGTGTATGTGGAATTAAGTTTACTTTTGTGAAAAACATGTCAAGAAAGAACAAAGATATAATCAAATTAATTTTCTGTATTCTCTTTCACCAAAATATTGGTAGCTAAATGCCTAAGGAGGGCTAGAAATAAAATAATCAGGTGACTATGTGGCAAAATGTAGAGGGCTCATAGGGAATGCTCATGGATGACCTTTAATTATCATCAGCTGAACTCAAGGCCTAAGCAGAGCCTCACCCTGGGAACATATTTCCCCCAAATGTGGGAGACTGTTATCAGTACTGATTTCTTATCTTTATCTATGTGCTGGGAATGAGGAAAGAATAGGACCTTGATTTACCCAGGTCTTGATGTGCTAAATCCCAGGAATGAGGGAATGGATAGGACCTACCTGAGAACAACCAAAACTTCTTTGACCTTAAACCCTCCTTTGGAAATAAGTGCATTGTGTTGTCTGTGGTGGGTTTTGACTGTCTCTCTATCAGAGCGACAGCACCCCACCCGGGTCCCAGCTTGAATCTATTTCTGTGTCTTGGTCTCTTTTTTTTTCTTTAATTTCTTAATCCCCAGCTCCTCCACTCAGGAACCTGTCGTTTTCCATGCGGGTCACAGAAAACAGAGAAATAGCCCCCACAGCAAAACTCATTTTTTAATCTATTCACGCATTCATTCAATATACATTGTTTAAGCATAGCAACTACCTCTATGCTAATAAAAGGGTAATATGCAAATTGGTTAGAATACCCTCACAGTAAGGACCAAACAGCAGGTTGTGTGAGGCAACCAGGCGGGCAGGGGAGTTAGTGAGGGATGACCAAAGGACTAAATAGCAAGCTTCGTGGGGCAATTAAGCCGGCAGGGGATGAGGGCAGTTGGGGGCAACTAGGCCAGCAGGGAGGCAATTGGGGATGACCAGGCTGGTAGGGGGGGCAGATGGAGGCAACCAGGCTGGGGGTGGGGGAGTCAGTAAGAGCCGACCAGGCCTGTGGTGGGTGGGAGGCAGTTAGAGGAGATCAGGTTGGCAGGCAGAGGCAGTTAGGGGTGATCAGGCTGGCAGACAAGTGAGCAGTTAGGAGCCAGCGGTCCAGGATTGTGAGTGGGATGTCCAATTGCCGGTTTAGGCCCCATCCCGGTGATTGGGCCTACCGGCAGTCAGACATCCCCTGAGGGATCCTAGATTGGAGAGGGTGCAGGCTGGGCTGAGGGGACCCATCCCCCTGTGCATGAATTTCATTCACCAGGCTTCTAGTATAAAAATAAAGTTATGTTTGCTACCTTCAGACTGATGTAGGGATTTACTCAAATAAATACAATGGAAATTGGTTGGTTACTTTGAAAGTTTGAAAGGTACTTGTAATCACATTTGTATATGCAAAACATATCTATCTAATGTGTACATGGTATTAGGTTTACTTTTGTGAAGACATGTAGAGAAAGAACAAAGGTATAATCAAACTATTTTATGCAGTCTCCTTTCATTAAAATATGGTTGTTAAACTCTTAAGAGAACTAAAAATAAAATATTTATTTAGTTCCAACAGCTCTATAAAGTTAGTAGTCCTATGTCATAGATAAGCTATCTTTGCAGCCCTACACAAGCTTCTCTCCCACCCCTCCCCCCAGATAGTTATGGATCCTGGCTTCAAGATTTGGGGTGACTACAAATCCATGTGCTTTCTGATACATTCATGCACTGCATAATGACCTTTCATTAACAACAGACCTTATGTATTACACCGGTCCCATAAATTTATAATGGAATTGAAAAATCCCTACTGTTGTCAAATTACAGCGGGGAGAGGAGGGAGATCTGGGGGAGATAAGAGATCAACCGAAGGACTTGTATACATGCATATAAGTACAACCAATGGACACAAAACTCTGGGGAGGGTGGGTATGTATGGGGGGGGCAATGTAAAATATGTACACAGATAATAATTTAATTTTTAAAATTTTTTAAATAAAAATATAAAAATGAAATATGAAAAAAAGAAAGAAAAATCCCTACTGTAATATTGTCAACAATAATAATAAAAAATTCCTATTGCCTAGTGATGTCATAGACATTGTGGCCACCGTAATGTCACAGCTCAATGCATTACTCACATGTCTGTGGTGATGCTAGTGTAAACAAACAGACTGCACTGCCCGTCATATAAAAGTACAATACAAAGTATTTGATAATAACAACAAATGACTTGCCCAAACTGGTTTGGCTCAATGGATAGAGCGTCGGCCTGTGAACTGAAAGGTCCCAGGTTGGATTCCGGTCAAGGGCATGTACTCTGGTTGTGGGCACATTCAACGGTGGGGGGTGTGCAGGAGGCAGCTGATCAATGTTTCTCTCTCATTGATGTTTCTAACTCTCTATCCCTCTCCCTTCCTCTCTGTAAAAAAAATCAATAAAATATATTTTAAAAATAAATAAATAAATAATAAAATAACAAATGACTATATTACTCATTTATGTATTTACTATACTATACTTTTTATCTTTATTTTATGGTGTGCTATTTCTACTTATAAAAGGGGGGGGGGAGGTTTGCTGTGAGACAGTATGCCATGTTATGCTGGCAGCAGCCCCATATATCTTCTGTTTACTGTGTCTCTTGATGGCAACATTTTCTCTTATTCTTGATTTGTTCTCCCAATCATTAAGCAGTACCTGACTACATTCCAGAAATAATGGATAAAGTGGAGGAAGAGTGTCCATTATTGACTGCAATGGGATAAAAGATTTTGCCCTTGCTTCCCCACCCTCTCACCCTTGAGAAAGAAGCAGATTTTGTCATGGAATCAATTGCTTGCCCAAGCTCTTCAGCAAAGGTGGTGTTTTGGGTATCCCCATTTTTGCAAAGCTGCCACCATGGGCCCAAGATCTAAATGGGTTGCTCTGTCCTGACTCATAAGATCAGAGGAAGGTGAGTCCCTCTGGAGGACCCTGGGCAACCTTCAAACAAGACCAGTGCCAATCAGATTTGGAAAAGGCAGGATCTGGTGAGGAGCAAAGAACAAAGAACAGCACAGGAAGAAAGAAACATCCTGGAGAAAAACAGAAGGTCTAATACAAGGTAGCTACGATTTCATTTTTCACGGCAGTTCAAAAAGTTCATGGATCCTTAATGAGGATTTGCTTGTTGCCACCAAGAGACGCCCACAGGTTCTTTACTTGGATATATTCTATGTAATTGTAATAAACTTGCATTACCATTTCCAGCACCTCATCTTTGGAAATAATATTAACTTCTAGTTCATGGGCCGTGCCAAAGAGATTGACATTACCTCAATGGGGGAAAGCAAAAAATGTGGGCTCTTGTAGAGGTTAAGCAGAACTTAAAGAAATTATGCTCTAGAAAAAAAAGTTTTAATAGCATTTACCTTTTCTTATTATGACATTAAAGTATGCTCATTGTGAAAAATTAAATAATGCAGACAGTAAATAAAGCAAAAAATAAATAAATTCTCCTATTCATAGATAGTCACTGTTAAAATTTGGGTGACTTTCTTTCTTTCTTTCTTTCATCTCACTAAGCACTTTCTGTGCATAATCTCATCTAGCTTCATATCAACTCTAAAAGATTTAGTAGAAGCTTAGGAATCTTTGCTAGAACACACTGATAGCAAATGGCAAGGCAATCATGGCAAGGCAATCATTCGAGTCCAAGCTACTGAAGTTAATTAAATAAATGTTAAATAAATGAATGGGGGGGATCTGTCAGTAAAATGTCCAGATTTGAATTCAGACCACGTCAAATCCACATCTGCTATTCTCACCACAGCCCATCACACTCTGGGAGGTATATCTAGTGCAGAATAGAAATATCAAACAGGCAAAATTAACATATGGGGAGACAGATATAAGGAATAAACTTTCACTGGACAAGTGTGGCTCAGTAGTTGAGCATTGACCTCTGAACCAAGAGGCCATAGTTCCTTTCCCAATCAGGGCACATGTCTGGGTTTTGAGCTCCATCCCCAGTGGTGGGCATGCAGAAGATAGCTGATCAATGATTTTCTCTCATCATTGATGCTTTTGTCTCTTTCTTCTTCTCCATTCCTCTCTGAAATCAATAATTTCCATTACCCATTTGCTTATGATATTGAAAGACATGTGCCATATAAACAGATAAAAGCTCCGAGCTTTATTAG